TTTCATTGGCACTAAGAAGTACCTTTGATCCTAAAATCCAGGTCAAGCAGTTTTCATGAAAGGGGAAGAGGTTATCTGCTGGACTCTCCTGAGCTCCAGATTTATATATCTCCATCACCTGCTATGCACTGTCACCTAAAATACAATATATTCAAACCTGAACTTATTCCCTTTTATGTTTCACATCTCAAAATTGGTTCAACCATACATTTGTCTGTCATCTAAACCAAGTACGTGGACTATCATCTTTGAAGCCTTCTCCTATTCCATGTTCACAGATTCCTATCTGATAGTCTGTTCAGGTTCTGGTTTAACTATCTAGTAATCTGTCTTGTTCTGAACTACAGCCTACTATTGGGCTTGGATAATACACAATCTCCCCCTTCACAATCCCTAAAGGGTTAGACTCAGTCCCTAGTGCTGTAAATATCTACCTAGTCAGTCAGCCATCAGAACTGGGCAGAGCCCACCTACCCTTGCTGAACTGGCCTCTATGGGGTCTTCTTGAGCTACACTTGAGCTTGTAGCATACCATTGCTAAGCCTCTCTGCCTGTTCTTAGCATATCCCTAGTAGGCCAACCAGTGCCAAGCACAGGGTTGGACACACAGAAAAGATTCAGTAAAATTATGATAGAAATACACACTAAAGCTACAAGGTGTAGCAGCCATTCCTTTTCAGTTAGTCTCCTGGCTGTCAGTCTCTCTAATAGCCAATGCCACCCTCTAGAGGATACTTACAAGCAAATGAAGTCCCCAGCATTGGAAACTTGCACTAAACCATATGTGAGGAGTTCCTTAGGCCAAGAGACCTAGATCCAAGTACCCAATTTACCCGTGACCTTGGTCTGATGATGATATTAAGACTCAGTTATCCTTCTAGCTATCTCTCAGAGTTGTCTCAAGCGTCAAGCTCTATAATACATATCCCTGTATCTTTTTAAAATGATCTTTTTTTGTATTTTTCAGAAAGATTTTTGCTATATTGTGCATGTAGTCACTAGAGAGACAGAGAAAGACAGACAGAAAGTGAGAAATCATCCCCTGGGGAGATGGCCATGCTGCAACCCCTTCTCCTCCACTCTCCTCTCAGGATTTTGGGCATGCATACACATCCACTTGGCGTGAGTTTCAAGCCTCTAGTCTAGGACTCAAACATTGGTGAGCCATGTGGGGGTCTAGCAACGTACCATTATGCCATCTGCTGGTCCCAGGGAACACTAGTGAAGAGGCACAGTGGTGTGTCACAAGAGATCAGTGGTTCTTAAATCTGCATATGCAGCATCACTTACAGACCTTTTAAAAACACAGATGCCTAGGCCAGAATTTCACTAGTTCAGGAGACTAGATCTGGGAATTTGCATTTCTAACAGGTTCCCATGTGATACTAGCCTTAATTCATTTGAGCTATTATAATGAAATACTATAGACTTATTAAAAGCAAAAACAAAACAGAACATAAATTTACCCCAGAGGCTGGGAAGTCCAATATCAAAGCATTTAGAGATTTCATGTCTGGTGAGGACCTGAGTTTTGGTTCATAGAGGGCCTTCCTGCTATATCCTCATATGGTGGAAGGGGTGAGAGAAACTCTCTGAGGTCTCTTTTATAAGGGCAATAATCCCATACAGTAAGCCCCCAATCTCGTGACCTAATCACTTCCCAAATATCCTACCTCCTAATATGATGACCTTAGGGATTAGAATTTTAACATCTGAATTTTGGGGGGACATAAACATTCAGTGTATAACAATATTAACGATATTAATCCTGGGGCCACACTTTGAGAACCACTGTTCTAGATTATTTTAAAAGCATTTCTC